ACCATTGAAATCTACCTGATGACTTTATATCCATACTCAGGTGCGAAGGAGCTCAGAAAGTAACCAACTGTGACTTGTAATAATCTGATATACAGAGATTAAAGACATGTGTGCAAACATCTAAGCGTGTTGCATTAAAAATAAGTTTTTCTCCCAGGTGTGGTGGGCATGCCTTTAATCCCAACATTCGGGAGGTAGGGGCAGGCGGATCTCTGTGAGTTCAAGGCCAGCCTGGTCTACATAGTGAGTACCAGGACAGCTGGAGCTACAGGGAGACCCTGTCTCCAAAAGACCAAAAAATTCTGTATGAAACAGTATATTTTAATAATGAAATGGAGATCTTTTTAAAAAGTTAAAACCTCATTCAATTTTGTGTCTCAGGGTTTACACTGAGTACAATATTGTATAACTGTATTAATTCAACTGTAAACCTAAAAATTTACAGTCAATTTTGAAAGAGATGCATCTTTGCTCTGGAAATTGTTATTGAATATGTCAGTGCTGTTGTAATGAAATGTTTCTTCTAATTATGCGGTTATTAAATAAATAATTTTTACAAAAAAGAGAAAAGAAACAATTCTTCAAAAACTGCAAAAAAATTAAACTAAAATCAAACAAAACAAAACACAGTGATGTAAAAAGCCGTAAGTTGTATATGTAAAAGTTTGATGCAAAGACACTTTGAGAATCTAGTCACCATCAATACTTTACCCATAATAACTGATTTCAAAGTCCAGAAATGTCAAGGGACTGGTTTGGTCTACTAAACACACATGTTTTGGAAACTCAGCTAGTATCTATCAAGCACATTTTCTAAGCCACCAGCTCACAGTGTGGACATGTCAATGTTTTCCCCCAAGCCACTCAAATCTACTACAAAACAATGACTGCAGAATGGTGCAAAGAAGAAGGTGAACTTCCGAGCTCAGTTCTACCGCTCATTATTTAACTGGTGAATATTCAATTATTAAAGTCTAAACTTTGTATTAGAACATAGTTTGACGATGGAAGCCTATGAATGAGCAAAATGGGAATTTCTCATTTACGATTCCCAGTATTTAATGAAACAATATTCAACTAAGTAAAAAATTAATGGAGTTTTCTTGGATTCTCTTCCAGCAAAAGCTGTTTGTCAAGTTGATGTACTTACTGACATCAGATTTGTTCTCACGCAAATGCAACTAAAATGGAATATTTGTTTTGATTTGAAGTACAAACTCTTGTCATGAAGAAGAAACACCATTTGGGGAGGACAAGCAAGCTCTGTGAACAAAGACATCCCTATCCATGGACCACTTCTCATTGGATATGCCTAGACTTAGCATCTTTTTTTGGGGGGGGTGTCTTTTTGAGACAGGGTCCCCCTGTAGCCCCAGCTGGCCTGAAACTCGCTATGTAGACCAGGCTGGCCTTGATCTCTCAGAGATCTGCCTGCCTCTGCCTCCCAAGTGCTGGGATTAAAGGCATACACAAACAAACTCGGCTAGTCTTATCTCCTTTGGGAAAACACACGATTCCCGTATGAGAATGAGTTTTAGTGTGTATGCTAAAGAGACAGAAGAACCTCAGCGTCAGCTTGGGGTCTTAGATTCCCTTTAATACGCAGACACAGACGGAAATGGTGGAGCTTAAACCGATGGCTAAAAATAATTACTCATGAAAAAGAGACAACGTTAGCCAGACAGGGTACACACGTCAATAAACAGCTACAAATGCATCATGAAAGCCTTATTTCCCCACATCTAAAACGTTTATAATAGGCTCAAGTTTAGGCCTAAGAGAAGCACCTTATTCCCCACCCCTATCTAACAAATGAAAAATTATTTAAAGTTAAATATTCTAGTTGTTGGTTTTTGCTTTTGTTTCTTTTTAACATTAGGGATTAAATCGGGGCCTTGTGAAGAAGTAGACATACAGTGAATATTTTAAAATGAAACATCACTATACTTTTCCCTAAATGCTATGTAACATACATCTGCAAAGAATACATTCCTACAGATGTTTTATAACCAGAGAATGACAAAAAACATTTATGCATTTTGAATAATTTCTTTTCATTCATACTAAAAACCCCAAACCCAAAACTTCTATCATTTTTTTGTAGTAACAGTTACTTTAAAAAAAATTTTATTATTTTAAAAATTTTATGTGTATGAGTGTATTGCCTGTACGTGTATAAGTGCACCTGTGTTGTGCAATGGCTGCAGAGATCATAATAGGGCATTGGGTTCCCCTGGAAGTAGAGTTATAGGTAGTTGTTAGCTGCCACATGGGTGCTGGGAATCGAACTTGGGTCCTTTATAAGAGCTGCCAGTGCTCTTAACTGCTGAGCTCTCTCTCCAGTCCCAGTTACTTGTATTTTGTTGTTGTTGTTGTTGTTGTTTTTTAAGAAACAATTACCCAATTACCATTTTTCCAAGATCATACAAAGCTATTTTTTGATCATAAGGTCATAAATGCCAAACAGGTCTTAGAATTCTTTTGTTGTTGTTTTAACTAACTATATTATCTTACCTTTGGATAATGAATCATCTCTAGTCTGTGGTTGTTCCTAAATGGATTGTTAGTTTATCTAATGTGAACACCTGTGTTCATGTACATGGCGATGCGTTTACAAATATGTGTTGTTGCATGTGCCTACGTATGCGTGGTGTGTGGAACATGGAGGCCAGAGGTTGACACTGGATGCTTTCATCAACTGCTCTCCACTTCATTTTTTAATTTTTTATTTTTTTGGTCTTTTTGAGACAGGGTCTCCCTAGAGCCCCAGCTGGCCTGGAACTCACAGACATCCAACAGCCTCTGCTTCCTGAGTGCTGGGATTAAAGGTGGGCACCAATGTGCCAGGTCATTCCACTTTAATTTAGACCAGTTGTCTCTTGTCCTTATCAAGCAAGCAAGCAGAACCATTGTTCTTTCTTACTGCAGTGTCCTTATTCTTTTACAGAGTAACTACAATTGAGACTTTTCAGAAATATGGTGGGAAACTGTACTACCTTAATTCTAAGACAATTTCAAAAATATTGTGACTCTAGAAAATAATCCTAAAGATGTCCTTCTTCATAGTATGAGAACCAAACAGCTAAGGTTTGCAAGGTTCTACTATCGACCTCATCACATATTTTTCACTTCATTTTTTAATTTTTTATTTTTTTGGTCTTTTTGAGACAGGGTCTCCCTAGAGCCCCAGCTGGCCTGGAACTTGCTTTGTAGGCTGGGCTTGAATTTCAAGATCCGCCTACCTCTGCCTCCTCAGTGCTGGGGCTAAAGGTGGGCGCCACCATGCCCAGCTCCACTTTATTTTTTGAGACAGGGACTCTAACTGAACCCAGTACTCACTGATTCTTCAGATTAATTGGCCAGTAAACCCCAGGGATCCCTCTGTCTCTGCCCCCGTTATCGTTCCGGTGCTGAGATTACAGATGTGTGCCTTTACACCCAGTTTTTTTTAAGTGGGTGCTGAGGGTCTGAACTCAGGTCTTCATACTTGTGGGGTAAATATTTTACTAACTCAGTCATCTTCCCCAAGCTCTTAAGAAGAACATTTTAAACAAACATTGTAATAGTCAACGGGGCTAAAACTGAATTTTCAAAAATAATGCTAATAAAATAAATGTTAAGGGCCAGGGAGATAAGATAGCTCAGTGGGTAAGGACACTTCACTAAGCATGATAATCTGAGTTTGATCCTCAAGACACACAGGGTGGAAAGAAGAGAATAGACTACCATAGGTTGTCCACTGACCTCTACAGTCCACTGACCTCTACATACACGTTGTGACACACACACACACACACACATACACACACACACACAGAGTCTCCTACAGGTTGTCCACTGACCTCTACACATGTATTGTCACACAGACACATAATACAAAATAAATAAATGTTAGGAATCTAATAATAAAAGTTAAATATTACTTCTCCTGTATCTCAAAATAATAATCATCACATCATTTTGGTGGAAAATTAGAATACGCTATAGGGTAAACTGTTACCGTAGCCCTGCTGCTGTCCTGGATAGCCCTGCTGCCCTGGGTACTGCTGCTGCTGGGGTGGGTACCCTTGCTGTGGAGGTGGTCCTTGGTAAGCATCTTGCTGTTGGCCGTATTGTGAATTTCCTACAGGATACATGGAGAAGACGGGAGAACAGAAGAATTACAAGTCTGTCTAATCAATGCTTTCTCTCTAAGATGCATAGCCAACAACACAAGAACAAAATTAAAATGCCATATTGATTTTTTTTAAAGTTAACAAAACAAAGAAAAAACTCAAACCAAACAGAAGGATTTCGGCCAAACAAACTGCAGTTAAAGCCAATTTTGCAAGGTTGAACTGCAGCGTTTTCAGCGTCTCTGCCATAGGAGCATTACATTTACTGGAACACCACAGTCATAAGATCATGACTATGCTAAATAAAATAAAAAAGACAAAATTAAAGACAGCTACAAGAGCACACACTAGCTACACAAGATCAGCAAGCTGTTTCTTTACTAAAGGCACTAAGCTCAGATGTAAAATACATATGGAAACACACACAAAGGGGAAAAAAATTGGGGTCCATGGATTCGTGTTCAAAGAGAAATTCCCATTGAGGAAAAAATTATTTTTAAATGTTTTAGTCTTTTTACTGTTGTTAGAAATGGCAAGCCATGGTTACATTTTAAATATTTATACAGTTGTTTGGGGCTCCCTGTAACTTAAAGACAGCCAGCAACTAGTATTCTACAAGAGCTTTGCATGGGGAGAAGATGTCTTGTGCGAGAACTGCCATTCCTGTAGAGGGGTGTGTACGTGTATGTGTGAAGGTATATAGATACCTCCTTCGTAGTAATGTTGTGAGGAATCCTCATAAGGCCTATCGTAGCCTTGTTCAGGATACGACGGTTGCTGATAACCGTAATCATTATGACCTACATCAATTCGACAAGAGACAGGAAGAAACGTTAATGGCCACTGAGTGAAAACCCTAAAATTAAACTTTCAGATAAAACTGGAAAAAAAAAAAGGAAATGGAAATACATAAAAAATAATTTAACTGCATTAGCAAATATTTACCAATGTGATTGCTTTCATACTGAGAACATGTGTAAATTTTTGTCAAAGCAAAAAGCAGTTTTAGAAACATTACACTTATTTTCTTAACTCTGACAATCCTTACTGAGGAGGGAAAAAACTTTATATTCTATTTATATAAAAAAATGAGAACATTCAGGTCTTTCACATATAAATAACTTGAATCAAATTAGAATGAACAAAGAAAGCAATTATCGTATTTTGTGAAACACCTGCTCAGCTGGTCTCCAATTCCACGGCATATGCTAAAAACAATGCAAAATCTACAAGAGGTCCTTAAGTCTCCCCTGAAGGAAACTGAAACGAGTTGTTCACACTCTGACTCAAATTTTTGCATCAAGTATTTTCAGATGCAAACTATGTTTCTTAATGCTGTCATTTTTGAAGTCTTCAGGAAATATTTCTAGAGTATCATGTTATGTACAATGTCACAAAAATTCTTATTTTTTAAATTGGAAAATACCTTTCATTTTAGTTTATGACACAATAATTTTCA